CTCCTGACACTCAGTGGGATCAGGAAGTGTAGAAGCGAAATTCTTCAACACTTAATGCTTGCATTGGGCTTCGCAGTGATAAGATGCACTCTGGTTCCCTAAGATTCCATCTGAAAAATGGTTTCTGCTCTGAAAATTGTGGGGAAGTCTTGTGGTATTAGTTCCAGCATGGGAAGTGCTTTCAAGTTGTCACTCCCATCTCTATAATAAGAAGAAAGCTGAATAATTGAACATCTATGGCTTTCCTTAGACTCATCACAGAGATCAGGTTGTAAGGGAAGCCACTATCCTTAAATCTGAATAATTATCAGGAAAGCCCAAAGAGCACAAAACAAGGATTCTATGGGAATTCGAAGCTCATTATACCTATAGCTACAGCAAAAGTAAACACAGCCCAACCTGTAACCAAATTAACATGCAAGCTTACACTAGAGCCCTATTTACCTTATTTCCTATTCACTGATACAGCTATCTAATTATCTAAAAAAACTACATGACATGCTAAGAGAAAGGGGAAATGCACAGTGTAAAGAGACAAACTATGCATCAGAACCAGACCCAGGTATGACACAGGTCTTGGAACTGTCAGCCAGGGGATCAAGGGCCACCTCAGCAGGGATAGTCATGTTGATAACATATACCCTTGGTCTCATGTAATGCAAATGGAACTTTACCTTAGTAGTCTTCATCAGAGAATACCCCATCTGGTCTAATCTAACAACATCTTTAACCTTACTGAAGGACATTCTACAAAATCATTGACCCATGCTCTTTAAAATTGTCAAGGTCATCAGGCCAGCGCCGCGGCTCACTAGGCTAATCCTCCGCCTTGCGGCACCAGCACACCGGGTTCTAGTCCGGGTCCGGGCGCCGGATTCTGTCCCGGTTGCCCCTCTTCCAGCCCAGCTCTCTGCTGTGGCCAGGGAGTGCAGTGGAGGATGGCCCAAGTCCTTGGGCCCTGCACCCCATGGGAGACCAGGAGAAGCACCTGGCTCCTGCCATCGGATCAGCGCGGTGCGCCAGCCGTGGTGGCCATTGGAGGGTGAACCAATGGCAAAAGGAAGACCTTTCTCGCTGTCTCTCTCTCACTGTCCACTCTGCCTGTCAAATAAATAAATAAAAAAAAAAAATTAAAAAAAAATTGTCAAGGTCATCAAAAACAAGAAAGTCTGAGGAACACCATCAAGAGGAACAAAAGCCTAATGTGCTGTGCTGGATGAGATCCTGAAACAGGAAGAGGACTTTTAGTACAAACTAAGAATTTGTGATTAAAGCATGAGTTTTAGTTAATTTATGAGCATTGGCTCAGTAGTAGTAGCAATACTACCATAACTGATATAAGATGTTAAAAATGAAACTGGATGCGGGGTATAATGGAAATCTCTGTACTATTTTTCCAATTTTTCTGTAAAACTAAAACTGTTCTGGAAGTCAAGTTTATTCAAAGAAATGAAAAATTTGACAATGTGTTTGCTGGTGATCACCAGCCAAGGCGTTTGCAGCTCTGATAAAGCATGCTTTTATTTCATGTTATTCTGTCTTGACTCTTCAGTCTAAGGAAGTCAGAGGTTCAATTTATTCTTGGTCCACTATGAAAAAGACCTGGGTGAGGAGTCGGTGTTTAGTCTAGCAGTTAAGATGCCTGCATTGCACATTGGAGCACATGGGTTCAATGCCTGGTTCCAGTTCCTTACGCCAGCTTCCCAGACATGCAGATCTGGGAGGCAGCAGTGATGGCTCAGATGACTGGGTCCCTGCCCCCAGTATGGGAGAACTGGATTGTGATCCCAGCTCTTAGCTGTAGCTCTGGCCACGCCCCAGCTGTTGCAGGCATTTGAGTAGTAAGCCAATGGATAGGAGCTGTCTTTGTCTCTTTGCCTCTCAAATACACAAATAAAACCACACACACACACACACACACACATACACAATGCACACACACACCAGGAGAAAAGGCTGCCAAAGTTGAATTTCAAAAAGCAGGAAATTATGGTTGTGGAGAGTAAAGTCTACCACTTAGTAGCTGAATGACCTTAGATATGTTATTTAATCTCTCTGTGTCTCAGTTTCTTATCTGTAAAATACAGATTAAAAATAAGAATATCTAGCTTACGAGATTGGTACCTGGGCTAAGTAAATAGTATGAGGGTACTTCAAAGAAGTTCATAGAAAAATATAGTTAAACAAATAAAAGTATTTTGGTGCAAAAAGTTTTGAAATCCATCCATAAGGCTTCAACGAGTTCCTTCAAAATGCATCTTATGAAAAAAATCTATGCATGGATTTCAGATCTTTTTGTACCAAATAAATTTATCTTTTAATTGCATTTGTCTTTTATTTTTCTAAAGTATCCTCTTGTGTGCATGCTGCTCACTACACTGTCTAGGACATAGCAAGGACTGTACAGATCTGTGAAATCAATAAGGGGCAGCATCTGAAATTAGCAGTCTTTGGGGAAGCAGTAGGATCTATGGCTGGCCTATGCACTGTTTTTCCATTACACAGCAACAACAGCATGGGGTGGGTATTTGCCTGGTGGTTAAGATGCCCGCATCCCATTTTGGAGTGCATGGGTTTGAGTTCCAAGAGTCCCAGCTCTGCTCCTGATTCTAGCATACCCCAACGGAGTCCTCACCACTCACGTGGGAGTGTTGATTTTCAGGCTACCAACTTTGGCCCCTGGCCCTGGGGCTACTGCACAGCATTTGGGGAAGGAGCCAATGGATTTGAACCCTGTCTTTGTGTCTCTGCCTCTTAAGAAAACAAAATAAAATATAAAACAAAAACAAATCCCCATAATTGTCCTGAGTGTTTATTTAATACTAAGTGAGCAAACTTTATTTGTCTGGTATCACACTAATAGCTTGACTTGCCTATAATTAATATAATCACTAATAGCACACACTGTTATTTTTTTTGTTTTGTTTTAATAAGAAGTGTCTGCTCAGGCCACACTGGACTTATTTGGCCTGTCTGTGAAATTTTATTGCTCTAAAATATCCTCCTTTCCCTGGTCCAAGCAGATTCTCAAGTGGAAATGAAGTTACTACAGGAAAGCCGGTTTCAGGCTCTTGGAAACCCGCAGTGGCACTTTTTAAGGAAGCTATTTCCAGCCCTCCCAGCTCCTTCCTTAGTCTCTCTGAGCCGCTTTAGCTTCTCCCATCCGAAGGATGAAGTGTCACACCTGGCGAACTTGCATGGATCAGGTTCTGATGATGTGTGTGTTCAGGAAGTTGGAAATGAAGAGCCAGGCAGGACGGACTCTGACTGACGTCTCTTTGTGACAAGTCTGCTGCTGCAGCTAGGGCTGTTTTTCCAACCATGAACCTCAGATGAGGATCTTCTGTTCTAACGTCCCCAGTTATTTTCCTTGGTTGAAGGTGTGGTCCTGGTGTCTGGAAAGCAGTTTGGATGTTCATGGTGGTTAAAGCTATCCAGAGGAAAAATAAAAAGTCACCATCAAGTCTTGAGACCAGACTATTGGGTGTCTCATATCCTGGCTCCAAATGCAAAAGCCAAAGGGTTCGACAAAGGCAGAATTGTTGGAGTAACTGACAGTCGCCCATGGTGACTTAGGGTCCAATGCCTGTTTGGAAGTCTGAGACCTGGTGTTTCCAAAAATCAGTCTCATTATTTATTGTCAGACTTGATGCATTCAATATGGCTGATGTGTGAAGTTGAGAGCAACACCAGAGCAACCCATTGCTCAATTCCCTGTCGTGCTGTCACCTCTTTTCCTATGACTGTCTCAACAGATGGTCCCAGCTCCTAGCAAATCTTACCCTACTTGAGGAAGCAACACGTCTATTTTTCAGTGACAGTTAAATTCATGGCCAAGTGCACTGGATTCCATCTCCTTCTTACTATCATACCTGTGTCTTCCACTTCTCTCTCAGCCCCTATCTCATGCTCTCCCTGTAATTTTCTTAGGCTAATGTAATTCCTTCCTCAATAAAGACCCTCTTGGTCTTTCTGTATTTGGTCTGACACCACCTCAACCTGATCAGTTCTTCATGATTTCCAAAGTGACACAGTAAAGATACATCAGGATTGTATACTGACAACTGATTTATGTAATTAGTTTTCCTTGATGTCTTTCAGGGTACATGAAGAAGTAGATATTGGCAGGTCTTTCTTTGCTGAGGGAAGCAATGGGATTGACAGTGCTAGACAATTGCTCAGTTGTCCTGCATGAGAAAGGGGAAGAGAGGAGGCAGGTGGGACGCATGATTCCTGAGCGTGACTCTAGAGCCAGGCTTTGCAGGGAAAGGCCCCAGAGAAAGATGGGAACTCTGCTGGCAGCCAGGGGAGGGACTCAGGGTTAGGGATCTGGGGACTGAAATCCTGTCCACCCTGAAATGTGGCTTCCTCCCCGGTCTCACCCAAGGCACCTTCCGTTTCTGTAGTCAAAAGTCTACATTTCTCTACAAACACAGCAAAATCCTGCATCTCTCACTCAAGTTTTGTGGAGGGAATTGTTCTTCTGTGGGTGTGGACGGAAGCACTGAGTTGAGCTGCAAGAATGAAAACTGGCAACGTCAACCACAGAGTTGATGTGAGTGAGCCAATCTGTGTACGCACCAACCCCGTCTTCCTGTTCCTCTGATGCAGTTTTCATGGATCCCCATTCAACATAGTGTGATGGGGGGACCTGAAACATTTAGCATGCGAAGCCAGATTCTTCTTGTTCTGGGTTCCACATACCTGTCCTTTCTCTCTCTCTCTCTCTCTCTCTCTCTCTCTCTCTCTCTCTCACACACACACACACACACACACACACACACACTTTATGCTATAATTCTAACAGACTGCCACCAGAATATGCTGTTTCATCCTAACTAGGCTGTTCTTTTTCTGCTTGTTTAGTTGGAAAATATCTCCTTTTTCTCCCTCCAGCAGACTTATGTACTCTCTCCTCTGGTATCCCATTTTTACCTTGAAGGTATACATGTTTGTTGTCGTGCACATTGTCTTGTAATTGCATGCTTGCAAACGCATCTCTCTGATAGGACCACAAGCTCCTACAAGCCAGATACAGGTTTATCTCTGTGAAATATTTCTAGCAGCTAAAAGAGTTAAGAATTTATGCTGATGTTGGATGAGTAACTTTATCTTCTATGGCTTACAAGTGTTCTACAGATAAGGTACTGAAGAAAAAATAACTGATAACAGGAGAAGAAAAATGCTCTCTGGTTTCTCAGAACCTTGCCCTAATACTTCTTCATAAAGCCTGTTATGTTGGTGGTGGTCAATAAACTGGGATTCTCAGCATTCAAGCCTTTATGTCAGCCCCTCCAACTCTGACCCTGGGTTTGGCCATGCAACTGGCTTTGACCACTGGGATATTGATAAGCATGATGGGAGTGGATGCTTGATGAGTGCTTATACATTAGCCTTGCCAACTTGCAATGATCTCTCTAGAACTCAGATGCCGTGTTGTGCGCAAGTCCAAGCAGCCCCATCATATGGCCAAGTCCACGAGGAGAAGAACCGAAGCCCTGGATGATGCCCCAGGTGAGGAAACTGGCAGAGACTGGCACTGTCTGCTGCTATGTGAATGAGACACATGGACTGTTCAGCCCTTCTAGTACCTTAGCCATTACTGCTCAAAACAGAAGAACCACGTGGTCAGTCACACAGTTATGAGAAAATAAATAGCTGTTTAAAGATACTAAATTTTAGGGGCTGGCTCCATGGCTCACTGGGTTAATCCTCCGCCTGCGGCGCCAGCATCCCATATGGGCACCGGGTTCTAATCCCGGCTGCTCCTCTTCCAGTCCAGCTCTCTGCTGTGGCCCGGGAGTGCAGTGGAGGATGTCCCAAGTGCTTGGGCGCTTGCACCCACATGGGAGACCAGGAGGAGGCACCTGGCTCCTGGCTTTGGATCGGCATAGTTCCAACTGTGGCGGCCATTTGGGGAGTGAATCAACGGAAGAAAAAGGAAGACCTTTCTCTCTGTCTCTCTCACTGTCTGTAACTCTACCTGTCAAATAAATAAATAAATAATCTTTAAAAAAATACTAAATTTTCAGGTGATTTGCTTTGCAGCAATAGAAAACAAGAATATCCCTTTGGTCAACACCCATAATTAAAATGCTTCTAGTGCATCAGTCTAAACATCAGAAACTGAATTAGTACTCCCTCATTTCAGTCGTACACATCTACAATCTAAGTTGTACGTCTTTAGTAATACACGTGGCACAGAGTGGATTCCTTGGTAAACACAGTCTGAGATAGGCATTAGCACACAAAATGTTCCTTAGGGAGTACTCTGGGGACCAACGCCTGAGGAAGTGTCGGTAGGAAGCAGTAGGGGCAGAAGTAGAGTCCAGCTGTGGTGCTGGCCCACTGACCCTTGACTCACCCACTGGGAGCTCTCAAGCTGGAGTAATCCTTCAGGTTGTCCGCAGTAGGACCCAGATGGCCGAGCCTTTATGTTCCATGTCGAACAGTCCTTGGGTGTGGGCCACCCAGGAGGGGGCGCCATCTTGACTGCAGCCACCCCGTGGGCAATGTGCAGCTGAGGCCATCTGCCCAACACCGTCAAAGCCAGCCAGGCGATGCATACTATAACTGAACGTGACTCAGCACACGCAGCCCACGTCCACTAGGGCAAGACGTCATTCTTTTCATCTGACAGAGAGGACATAGGAAGTTTAGGTAAATGTCTCATAGGCAAGGAATAAACTCCAAAGGAAACAATGATTCTTTCCTATATTTTCTTTCTTTTTTTTTTTTTTTTTTTTTTTTTTTGACAGGCAGAGTTAGACAGTGAGAGAGAGAGAGAGACAGAAAGGCCTTCCTTTTCCTTTGGTTCACCCCCCAAGTGGCCTCTATGGCTGGCGCTGCGCTGATCCAAAGCCAGGAGCCAGGTACTTCCTCCTGGTCTCCCATGCAGGTACAGGGCCCAAGCACTTGGGCCATCCTCCATTGCCTTCTCGGGCCACAGCAGAGAGCTGGCCTGGAAGAGGGGCAAGCAGGACAGAATCCGGCGCCCCAATGGCACCGCAGGTGGAGGATTTGCCAAGTGAGCCGCGGTGCCGGCCCTCTTTCCTATATTTTCACTCTCAGTGGCTGTAATGGTTGGGGTCTTTTAACAACCACTCCAAAAAGATCTCTGAGTTCTCTTTTTTCACATCTAAGCTGCTATTACTGACATCAAGTTCACAAAATCACTCTTTAAAAACATTTACTTGTTTTATTGACTTGAGAGGCAAAGAGATTCAATGAGACAGAGACAGAGAGATTCCCGTCCACTGTTTCATTCCCCAAATGTCCAAACGTTTCCAAGCTAAGAGCCAGGAGCCAGGAACTCAATCCAGGTCTCCCACGTGGGTAGTAGGGACCCAAGTACTTGAACCATCATCTGCTGCCTCCCAGGGTGCGCGTTAGAAGGAAGCTGGGGTGGCGCTGTGTGTAGCTGGTTAAGCTGCTGCCTGCAGCTCTCCCCTCCCCTCTCCTCCCCTCCCCAACAAAGAAGTACAAAAGGGGAAAGCTTCTGTTGTCCAATTTCCTGCTTGAATGGGTTAGTTGTCAGCACTGCAAATACTTAATAAGAGCTAAACTCAATTCAGCCCATGATGACGGTATTAAAGTATTTTTATCATGAAGTGGTATCATAGATGAGTGTAGGAAAGTACATTTTCTTGTGCTTTACAGCCCTTGAATTCTGTCAGTTTTTGAAATTCCACTCTGCTTTCCTGTTTATGGAAGTTTCTGTTTGTTGCACTGAAAGAGACTTTGACCATAAAATGTAACTAAAGAAAGCATAATGACCACACCCACTCTCTAGCAGTTACCGGATACCTACCAGCTAGTTACTACTCATGCTTTTCCCTGTAGCTCTTCCCCAAACCTTTGATGAAGTAAGTGTACCCCCTCCTCCTCCTCCTCTTCCTTTTCTCTTCTTGGTCTTGGCTTTACTGAGTTACCACTCACCTATTTAAAGTATACAATTCAGTGGTTATTAGCACATTCACAGAGTTGAGGAATCATCGTCACCACAGTCAATTTTAGAATTTTTTCATTGCTCACGAATGAAAATTCGTAAGCTTTAGCTGTTGCTGTGGTTTGAGTGCAGCATCCTCTCCCACGTGCATGGTAAGCTCAATGCCCAGTGTGACGGTCTGAACAGGTGGAGCTCTGAGGAAGTAATTTGGTCGGGAGAGCTCCACCTTCATGAACCAACCGTTGCCCTATACAAGCAGCTTCAGAGCTTCCCCCCTTGCCCTTCCACCTGCCACCATGTGAGGGCGCCACCACAGGCTGCCATCTTGGAAGCAGAGAAAGCTTTTACCAGGAACAAGTGCGAGAGGTCTTCCCAGCCTCCAGAATTGCAAGATGCAAATGTTGGTGCTTTTACTGTCACCCATTGTGTTAGAGCAGCGCAGCTGGGCTAAAATAGCCGTCGTCCCCAGTCCCCCATCTGCCCCGTTCCTAGACCGCTATGAATCTTCTATCTCTGTAGATGGTCCCATTCTGTACAGTTCACGTGAATGGAATCACACACACTGTGGAGTCTTTTGTGGCTGACTTCATTCATGCTGTCACATGAATCTCTTCACCTCCTTCTATGGCTGAATAATAACATCCCTTTGTGTGCATATATAACATCTTGTTTGCCCATTTGTCACCTGATGGGCATTTGTGCTGTTTCTGCCCTTTTGCTATGGTGTCTCATAGCCAAACATTATATACAAACTTTTCTGATAATGTATTTTTAAAATTTCTCTTGGATATATAGCTAGGAGTAAAAGATGTGAAGTCAAATGGTAACTTTCTGTTTAACTTCTTTAGGAGCTCCCAGAAGCAGTTGTCTGTGCCAAGGATCAGAAGCCACAAACACGCATTAGCGGGCTTTTAGCCTACAAGGAAGAGAAATCTCGAGTCAGATTTGTAGAGAGTGAGGTGAGTTTTTGTGATGTCTGGGTTTCTCCGAGTGCGCATTGTAGCCTTCAAGGGAGAGGTTGTACCGTCTCATCTGTGTCACTGTCCTCTTACAAATACGAAAACTCCTCTCAGAGAACAGTACGGTTGGAATCCCGTGGTGAGCCTGCATTTAAAGGGCCAGTAAACAGAAAGAGCTGATTGTGGAAACAGAAGGAGACATCACCATCACATCCTTGGTGGAAAGAAACACCAGGGTGAAAATACTTACAGCAGAAAGGTCAACCGCCGTCATTACTGAAAAGGGTTTTCTAGGGCGTGGCCAGGGGAAGGTACCTGGGGATTCTTGGCAGTTTCAGGGGAGAGGCGGTGGGAGAAGCCGGACTGCAGGCTGACAGAGTGCAGGGGCCGTACCTGCTTTGAAATTGTGCTGTGAAGAAGATGGGGAGGCAGTGGAGTTAAAAAGTCGAGGAAGGGATGGCCGTATGGGCAGGGACGGCAGGAGAGATGGTGCTGAGCCATGAGAGCGATGCAGGTCAGGGGATAGGTTCCATCTGGGGGGGGGGGGGGGTCTAATCCCACCTTCTAGAATTTTCCATGGATTATACTCAGAAGTCGTAAGGACGTGCTAGGACACAACTGCTCTCCCCCTCTCCTTCCCATCTGCCTCTCCCAGCACATGATCTGTGGGAGGAAGGTGACCTCAGGGCTCTCCCTCCCGCCCCACCACCCCTCAAAGCAGTTCTAAGTGCCAAGGGTCAGAAGACACGGAGGGCATTAGCAGTCTTTTAGTCTGCCCCACCCACTTACCTCTGGAGCCGAATCCTCAGAGGCTGAGTGAATCTGAGGTCTCTGAATTTTCTCCGAGCCTTCACTGAAGCCTGCAGGGAAGGTGTTCTTTCCTGAGCAAATTTATCCTATAGTCCATGTTTTCCCTTCACAGCCCCCGAAGCCTTCCGAATGGAAATGCCAGGAAATAGTTCATTGTTTCTTAAAGCGGAAGCGATAGTGCTTTCGGTAAGGCTTTGCCGTTCCAGTTAATAGCCTGGGCTTAGAAAGCTTGGCGGGGCTTTCCTCGGAGGGGAAGGAAAACCCCACTGCACACACTCACACTTACCGCAGCCCCGGGCTGATAGCAGAGGCATTTTAATCAAATCCAGCCTAGAAAGGCAGGTTTTGTTACACTGACTCCAACTGATAATTAGCTACAAACGTTTGACAATCTCAGGGAAAAGAAAACACACACACACACACACCACGTTCGGCATGGCTACATGTGGTTTAGAATCCGGATTACAAATGTTGGGGGTGGTGAGGGGCAGAGAAAGCTGTACTTTCCAGTAAGATGAGACCCTTTACTGTGCACCACCAGGATGCCTTCTGGACTCCAGCAAGGCTCTGCTTCTAAGTAAGCGGCTGCAACGACTCAGTGTGGCCGGCAGAGGAGGACTGGCCCAGGCTCCCTCGGCAGTGAATGTGGCCCTCGTGCAATCCAGGGACAGCAGAATGTACCTTTGCATCCAAGACTTCCTCCACTTCCACAGCGCTTCTACATTTTCCCCGGATGTTTGCACCCAGGGAAATTCTTCTTATTGGAAGAGCAAGACAGGTGCTCTTACCTGGTCTATGGAGGTCATGGGGTTTGCCTACAGTCAGATGAGTTTGGGTGGGAGGAAGGTGTTTCCAAGTTTCCTGGCAAAATTGTCTGGAAATTTAACCATCAGACTATACCTAGGGGACAGAGGTTAAGAATCAAAAGCTCTGGAACACCGGCCTGCACTGTGGCGTAGCGGATAAAACTGCCGCCTGCAGTGCCAGCATCCCATATGGGTACCAGCTCAAGTCCCAGCTGCTCCACTTCTGATCCAGCTCTCTGCCACGGCCTGGGAAAGCAGTGGAAGATGGCCCAGGTCCTAGGGCCCCTGCACCGGCCTAGGGGACCCAGAGGAAGCTCCTGGCTCCTGGCTTTGGATTGGCCCAGCTCCGGCCGTTGTGACCATTTGGGGAGTGAACTGGCAGGTGAAAGACACCCCCCCCCCCCGCCTCTCTGTAACTCTGCCTTTCAAGACAACTGCATCCCACATCAGAACGCATGGGTTTGAGTCCCGACTCTGGCTCCTGACTCCACTTCCCTGTCAGTGCTGACTCTGAGAGGTAGCAGTGATGGCGCTATTAATTCGAATCCTGCCACCCACAAGGGAGACCTGGATTGAGTTCCTTGTTCATGGGTTCAGCCCTGGCTCAGTCCCAGATCTTAATGGTGAGCCAGTAAAGGGGAACTCTCTCTCTCTCTCTCTCTGTCTTCCTGCTTCTCAAATTCAAAGCAAATTTAAAGAACCAATAGCCCCGCTTTTGGAGATTACGTTCTGATAAACCCATCATGAGTTGAAAACATCCCAGGTGGAAAAATGCATTGAGTCTCTCTAACCTATGGAACATCACAGCTCAGCCACACAGCCCACTGCAGAGTGCTGGCTGGGACCGTGCCCACTGCCGCCTCCCGGTGTCAGAGGTGGCATCCCACCACAAATCCGCAGTCCAGGAAAAGACCCAGCGTCAGAGCTGATGTACATGTTCTGCCTATCAGTTTTGCACCATTGTGAAGTCAAAAGTGTGTTGAGTCCACCTCTCTGAAGTGGGGGCGTTCGGGGATCGTCTGTGACTCATTATCAAAGTTCTTGGTGTGATCCCGGCTTACTGTGAGACTCACAGGTGTTACAGAATACCCATCAGCTTAACCTGTTGTTTACCTAATCTAGTAGAATCTGCAGAGTTAATTAACCTTTATGGGAAATCACACAGGAGTACAGGATAATTTGAGTTCTTCAGGTTAGCACGATTGAATAATTTACTCTTGGAGTGCATTTATTTAAAATGAAGAAACCTGTGAGGCATATGGATCCCTCTTATAGACTCATCACACCTTAAAAGGAATTTCCAGGCCATTATTTTAATTTTCTCCCCTGAAAACCCCATGAACTAGATAGTACTTAGCCCTGAAGGCCCACAGAGATCTCAGCAACTTTGTTAAGCAAGACCTTGAACCTGAGTCTACTAATACTAACTATTCTATGTCTTCTCTGGTTTGGAAGCAGAGCACTGTACCTCCAAAGTTCTCTCTTCAGTGTAGCTGTTCAAAAAATATGTTCTTCTGCAAAAACATAAAGCACATGACTCAATACCAATCCACGTCTTCAGTCTAGAATCCAGACCATTAAGTATGCAGCAGGGCCGGCTTTGAAAGAGGCCTCATAAAAACACAAGGTTGAAATTGTCTCTAAGGATTTTAGCTAAGTAGACCGAATCTAGTGGGGAAAATAAAATCTTTTCCCAGAGTTTCACGGGAGTGGAGGCTGAAAGGCTGAGAGCTTGTGAGAAATAACAGATACTTTAAGAAATATCTGAATAGGAAGAGGAGAATAGCAGAAGTAAAGGGTTTTTACAAAAATGAATAAATAAAAATGGCACAACATTTGGAATATTTTTTAAGAATCATATAATTTTAGGACTGAAAGGGACCAGAGAAAGCATTCCAAACTCCCCTTCTTTTATAAAAAGAACAAAATTTTGAGTCACCACCAGAACTAGCTATATCATTTGTGGGGTCCAGTGAAAAACACGAGCTTGGAGCTCCTAGTTCGGAAATGATCAATGTCAAGATGGCGACAGCAGATGCTAAGCAAGACGTGATACCCTTTGAAGTTCAGGGCCTCAGCTGACTGTGCAGGTCACGTACCTAGGAAGCCAGCCCTGGTCATGAAATTATCAACACCTTCCATTTATATGGTGCTTTCTACAGCCTCTTCATAGCTCATCTAATTTAAGTTTCATAAGAGCTCAGTGGAGTAGAATGAGCATTGTTTTCTTTTAAAAACATTTGCATGCAGGAGTGAATTTATCAACCATGACATTCTCGTTGACCAAAATGACACTATGTTCTTTGCACCATTTTTGTTAAATATCATGGTGTTAGTAGCTGCTGATAGATTAAATAGGGAGCAGTTAATTTACTCGTGGATTTTCATTCTTTAGCACCTATTATGAGCAGAGAACTCTGGGAAATATTTCAGACATCACCATAACTCAGTGAAGAACATGAGTTACCCCCCATTCCCAACGTACCAATGAGAACAATGGAAATCAGAGAAGTGAAGTTAGACATTAGACATTAGGTCACAGATTGACTAATGAAATAATTGGGATTAGTACACAGATTGCTAGACCATTAGTCCATGATGCCTTTTGAAAAAGTTTTGAGGGGGTAGAAATTTGGCATAACAGTCAAGATACTGCTTGAGATGCTTGAATTCCATATTGAGCGCTTGAGTGTTGAGTCCTGGTTCTGCTCCCAATTTCAGGTCCTGCTCATGTGCACCCTGGGAGGCAGCAGGTGGTGGTCCAAGAACTTTGGTCCCTGCCACCAACATGGGAGACCCAGGCTGAGTTCTGGGCTCCTAGCTTTGGTTACTGCAGACATTTGGGAGTGAACCAGAAGATGGGAAATTCCTGTCTGTCTCTCTCTCTGCCTTTCAAATAAATTATAAATAAAACATTTCAAGGTAGTATAACTTTTTAAGCATTGTTCTCTAAAATAAGATACAAATATAAATATTAAATTGTCTTCCAAGAAAATTAAGGTCAAATCAATGAACAAATCATTATTCTCCCTTTTCTACCTCTCTTTTCGCTCTCTTTCTGCTACAGTCTCTAGAGAGAATAGGAGAATAAATAGGAACATTCTGTACATTTTCGAGGATTGCCTTAATAACTGAATTAAAGTCAGTGAGTGGATCTGAGATCCGCCCCAATGGCAGAGACGCTGACTGCTCACTACACAGGCATGAGCTCTCCCCACTTCCTAGCAAGTTGAGAAAAGTCATGTGACTATTTCTGGCCAACGGGCCACAAACAAACGGGCATCATCCCCAGGTGGAGGTAGCGAGAAGCTTCCTCCTTCCTTCCTTCCTTCCTTCCTTCCTTCCTTCCTTCCTTCCTCTCTCTCTCTCTTTCTCTCTTTCTCTCTTTCTCTCTTTCTCTCTTTCTCTCTCTTTTTCTCTCTTTCTCTCTCTCGCTCTCTTTCTTTCTTTCACAGGCAGAGTTAGAGAGAGAGAGAGAGAGAAAGGTCTTCCTTTTCCGTTGGTTCACCTCCCCAAATGGCCGCTACAGCCGGCAGATCCGAAGCCAGGAGCCAGATGCTTCTCCTGGTCTCCCATGCGGGTGCAGGGCCCAAGCACTTGAGCCATCCTCCACTGCCTTCCCGGGCCACAGCAGAGAGCTGGACTGGAAGAGGAGCAACCGGGACAGAATCCAGTGCCCATATGGGATGCCGGCGTCATGGGTGGAGGATTAGCCAAGTGAGCCATGGCGCTGGCCCCGAGAAGCTTCTTTCTAACACGTTGGCTCTCTTTCTCCTGAGCTCAGTGACTCCAGAAGCCATGTGTGGAGATAACTGAATCACAGATGGGGACACAGTGGGCTCCTGAGTTACCACTTGGATGGGAGTTTCCCTGCAGAGTCATGGGATCTGTCATGGCTTTCGGTGGGCGAAACAGATGTTCATGTGAAAGTCCCTGAGACGTGGGCGACTGCCACCTCATGCTGGCTAATACACTTCTACCTAGGGGAGCCCCTGAATCCTGTTGTGTTTCCTGTTCCTTGTTTTTTTTTTTTTTTTTTGACTCCCTGACTATAATTAACATTTATAAAGGCTTTCACAATTCTTTATGCTGCTTTTGGTTTCTCCTGAAAGCTGCTAAGAGCTGTCCAGGTTATGCTATTTTCAGAAGCTGAGGCCTCAAGCCATTTGATTTTACTCTAAAGGCATGGCGTGACCCAGAGGGTCCTAGGAACACCCAGGGTCTGTCTTGGACAGCTGCGCAGCCTTTCTAGTACAAAGTGCATGCAGGAGAAATGTGATTAAGCACTGAAACCAGAGGCAGATGTTTATCTATCTGCTATTCCAGGTACTTGTTTATAGGGAGATTTTAACAGGGAAAATATTTTAGTTACTTGTTTGCTTTAGTCAGGGATAGTACAGGAAAAACTAAGAATTCCTAGGCATGACCATAAATCTCACTTTTACATAGCAATATAGAGCAGTTTTGGAAAACAAGATAGCATGAGGTGTGATCATCACGTGGGAGTGACACTGACTTGTACCAGAGACATCCAGGGGGTGTGGGTTATCGTCAGGTGAGAGGTCCTCCGCAGAGGCTGAGCTGTGGCCAGATGTCCCTCGAAACATTTACAT